AACACCCTAAGGTTGTTGCATCCTGCCGCACTGGCAATTCCAGCCCAACTCCAACTTGGGGGTTCAATCTCAAACTTTACAGCATTAGTTTCTGCTTGAGTTGAAAAGGCGTACGGATCATGGCCAGGAGGGTAAACGGTAAGGTACTGTTTTTGTTTTCAACAAACATGGAAGTGCAAACAACTCCACGATAGAGGACATTGTCCTTTATGCACTTCCATGTTTGCTGGAGGGAGAGTATGTTCTGATAAACCAACCACATGTAATAGGAGGAAGAGGGAGGCAGCAAGCCTGGCAACTTGTCTTCCAGAGGCCTGGGTCGCTCTGTTTCATGATCGGTAACGTCTTGGTCTTCGAAGAGAAACACTTAACTGGCTCTCGGTTTCAGTTGGGCTTGGTGTTGCGTGATCAATGTGCCAGGACCCTAAAGGCCTAAAGGGTATTAAAAGGGTGATTAAAGACACCCCTTGACCTCTAAGGAGCTTTTATGTAATGGACACCGTTTCGGGGCACCCAGGTGATCTGTTACTTCTGCAAATGCACATGAGAAGCCACTCTCTAACACATCCAAAGGGGTCTTGGTGTGTTGTTGTGGGTGTGTCTGTTCCCACATGGGTGTGGTTTTTTTGGACCTCGCATGCAACGACCCCCCTGGAAGAAACATAGACCCATCTACCCATTGGTTGGAGACCTTCCTAATCTATAACCGAACCTCCATTCGTCCCACATCCGTGCTCGGTACGGTAGGACCGACACCCCGATGGTTCTCGGACCTGAGGATGTGGGACGGGTCGACGACACAGCCACACGTGTATCACATCGACCCAAACTGCATGACCACATGTGTATGAGTCCATGTGATGAGTCCAAGGAATAACCACAAATATCCAGTCCACATGTGTATCCGACCCAACTTCGGACTCATCACGTCGACGGAAGGTTTGTCTCCAGGCGGCACCAGGATTTCCTGCAGCACTCGGCCTGCGAGGACGCGGCCAGAAGACCAGAAGCGTGTCCTGGATTCCACCCTGTCCAGTGTGCCATTTTGATGCTCTTGAGAGGTCTTTGGGGAGTTCGGAATTCTTGCCACCCTCTTTGCGGGCCCAGGAAAAAGAACACGATTGGCCTCAAGGAGGAAACCACTGTTTCACAATTCATCCTTGCTTTTGGTCAATGACTGCTTCAGCCTGCTGATTCCTACTCGAGGCAGTACCGTGAACTGACCACAATACTGTAGTCATTGATCGCAAAAACATCGTTGCCACTGGACAATTTGATTTATTGTCGAGGACTTCATCAAGTACTCGGTCTTGGACACCAGCTGGCAGGAATTGGCCAATGCTCTCCCAAACTGCTACTTGCCTCCTCCAAACAACAATAGCAACCACCAGCAGTGTCATCTTGAGGTTACCCTGGCCCTTTTACCACCCCTCCACTCGCCAGAAGATCTGAGACCAGATTAAGTGATTTATGGCACCGCAAACAAGCCGAGAAGCATGACATGAATAAAGCGAGCAAGATAATCGTCAAGCAGGACAAGAGCCTTCTTATAGAGAAAATGCCAGAGCAATGACCGATATCAAAAAAGGCTGAGGATGCTAGATGATATAACAGCGCAAAGGAGGCACTGGGTGATTCTGCCAGCATGCTTGAGGCAATGGTACAGTTGTGACAAGATGCGAGTGCCAAGAATGCACAAGAGATGTTTCTCCTGAAGTGTGGAGGAAGAGCCTACTAGCAGCATCAGGTTGGCATACTAGACGATTCAAATGTTCTTTTATGGTTCGGGTGTGTTCAGTTTCACACTCCACTTCAACGGCTTGGACATACGAACTTACTTCTTTGCGCCCAAATGCTGTGATTCATGGCAGCAACAAACAATACCTTACATAGAACACAGTTTGGATCAGTTTGGCAACATTTGCTGGTAAGGTTCATGTCAGTCTCTGCCTTTTGAGCCCCTTCGCACCTGAGACCATCATCTCATAGTTGTCCATCTTCTCCACCACCTCCACCACCTACATTCGGTGCAGCAAGGCTCTCCAAGACACACGACACCTCCAAAAAGGCATCCCTCATCTCTCCTCACAGTTCATGGACTCACTTTGCCAACCGCCGTTCCTCTGATTGAACACTGATTTTGCTGACAACCAAGTCCCGCGCGCGATTGAAGTACTCCACACCCTTGCGGTACTCCTCCGCGGCATCCAACACTTTCAACGCGGCCCGGGGCAACAAGACCTTGCCATCCAGCAACGCGAAGGATTGGAGATCGGAATGCGTTGGTGCTGCTGGGAAAACCATCATTGAAGAGCAAACAAAAAAGGTATTGATATGATCAAGGGAATGGGGTGCACGAGACTATTTGGTAGCTTAGCATGGAGACACGCTGAAGAACTTGCACCCAAGCTTCCAAAGCAGGCTACTTTGGCTGAACCACTTGTATCCACATGTATTTCCAATCCTAAAATGAACACGGACAGCATGAAAAATGAGCTCTAGACAGGTAATGACTGCCTGACTGCCTCTTCTGGATCTTGGCATGTCCACACCCATCCCATGAAGTCATCTTCCAGGCCAGAAAGACAGTTGCCCTTGAAACTGAATAGGTAAAGAACATCAAAGAACATCATCTTCCAATCCCACAGGCCTTCGTTTCTGCCTTGTTTCAGCCAACGTCCAGTCGAATCCAATATCAGAACAAAAGCCCAGGATCCTTCTTACTCGAGTATCTTCTGAACCCCAAACCACCTGCTTCGGGGTAAATGTAACTATTCCAAATCCATGGATGGGTCAGTCTAAGGCGGGCCCAGGGGTAAAGGTATGTAACTATATTGTATTTAAATATCATATATGTTCATACATATTCCAGTCCAATTGGTAAGCTGGGGATGACCCCCCCAAGCCTCAAGCCTCGCCTCCTCTTTGGCTTTGCCGTTGGAGCGGGGCGAGGTGACACGCAGGCCCTCGTGTGCCTGCAGAATCTCCAGGAGATGCGACCTCAGCGCAGCACGGGCCAAACAACCAGATCTTGTGGGTGATATGAATTGATATGCTTGCGTGAAATCAAAACCTCCTGTAGTGTCTGGGGAATGAGCTAAGGGCTTAAGAGGGCTGACACGCGAAGGGAAATCATGGTTGCCTGAGGTGAGGTGAATTCAAACCACCTGGAGCGCTCTTCGGAACACTCATGGGTCACCCTAACTACTCGAGGTCTTCGGCCAATTCCCATCCCATCAGCCGACCCTTCGAACGATCCACTTGAACGATCCACGATCGGTCGAAGTCTTCATGACGGACCTTCATCAGGAAGTCCATACCTGGTGGACCTACAACCTTGGGAACATCATCACTAGGTTTGGAGTTTGTTTGGAGTTTGAGGCAAAATTTTAGGTAGACCACACGAAAAAGCTATAAGTTAGCCATGATTGGCGGCTTTGCATCTAATAGCCAAGGATCTAGGGCAAAACAACAACTACACCATGGCTTTTGGACTACATACATAGCAGTTAATCAGTGTTTGTTACAGTAGTCCTTTATCCTTTAGATTCACAAACATTAAAAAACACTCTTCCCGAAACAGGCTCAATGAACCGATCCGTACGCTGCAATTCTGCAAGTTGGGAGGAGATGGGAGGATCTGGAGCACATCACACCTGCTCTTTTGCAAGTCCTAGCTAGTAGAACAATGGGGCCTTCTTTTGGTTGTTTGATTTCATGTTCCAGCGGGTTTCCGCTGGCATCTCATATCTCCCCCCCTATGTTCCACATCATATTTGCTTCTTGGGGGATCATCATACTACCTCCCACCAAATGTCAACATAATACAATTAAAAGCCATGTTCATTTCACGTTGGACAAACTACATACTACAAACAGTTTTATCAAAGCAAGTGGGAAGAACTCAGCGTCAGTTTTTTTGTTGTAACATTGTATAGGAGGTTCATTTGGACATCAACACTTAAAATATCTTAAAATAACATCATACCTCCTGTCATCAGGGGAATGTGGTTGTTGTGCCCTTCATACTGTGATCAGCATGGACCTCAACATAATTCACTATAATTACCTTGATGCACAACATGTTCCAGGGAGTCTGAGAATGAACCTCCCTTCCTCACCCAACAACCACTGAAGCAGCCATTTTGGCGCAACCAGCAATTATTTAGTTTTGATTTTGCTTGATTGTTTCAACCAGTCACTGCCCATTACCTACCCTTCAACCCTGAACCACACATCCAAGGGTGTACAACGACTTGCTCGCTTCACTCTTGTCTTTTCCGTCCAAAGAAAAGCATTGATTGAAGTCAAGTGACTTTAGCATCTCAAAGTCACTCGTGATCGTGCCCTCCGTCATGGCTAAAGCTTGGCAAAGGCCAAACTGCTTGAAAAAGTGCGGCTGCAGATCGACTAGACACTTTGCTCCTTGTAGCAAGAACGCTACTAGGGGCTCCTGGTCGTACTACTAGGAACAATAACGCTACTACTAGTAACAAAGGGCATCGCATCGCTACCAGTAGCAAGAATGCTCCTAGTAGTAAGGCCAGGAGCCCCTAGTAGCGTCCTTGCTCCGAGCAGCGATGCCCTTTGTTACTAGTAGCGATGCCCTTCATCTGTCCTACGCATGAGCGCATTTTGTGCTGAAAGGTTCTTTCAGATTCTCAAAGTGCTTGCTCGGGCGGATTAAGGAAACCCATGCCTTTGAGGCAGACCAGGGGTCTGAGGTTGCATTGATCAAAGGGTATGTAAAAGCCTTTAAAAAAACACATTTCGGAGGGTCAACAGAAGGTTGAAAGTACCGGACCCCAAGTGGTATGCTATGCAAGTTCCCAACCACTTGGCACAACTGGCAATGATGCAAAGATATTCAGTTCCTAGATGAATGTAGGGTCACAAGACATCCAAAGCCGACTAAAACGCCCACCGATGTGACGAATTGTCTTCCACCAACCCCTCTCTGTCTTCCACCTTATCTCATCATCACATCAAACAGTTTGCACCTCAACGACGATGTGTTTCATCTGTGGCAGGAGCTCCTTCTCCCAGTAGTCCTTCAATCTGTGTCTTCCAAACTACGCGCGAAGACGACTGATGACCGAGAAGTTCTTCTCCTATGCTCCTATAGCTCGAGGTCTTGCTGTAAACCATGACCTTGTAGTTTGTTTGTTTTCATGTTGTAATTAAACTTCTCCTTTGACAACGGAGAGAGAACATGGAGGCCTCCAATTCCTGCTCTGAACGACGGCCTCCCACAGCTTTTCCCACCGACAAGTGCAATTTCCTTGGCTTTGCAAACCATACCCAACCTAGTTATATCCGGCTACCAGTTAGCTTGAAACTTATAACATCTTATAACTTATACTGTATATATCATTACGAGGCGCACCAATCGAAGTCCCAATGAAATGTCCATGGATTCCACTGAGTTGCAGGGTCGACAAAGCCGAAACATGATTCCCAACCACTCCATGTAGGCAAGTACGTGAGCAACACATAGGTGGTTTCAGGGACGGATGTAAATCATAGACTACATACCCACAGTGGAGAGTCTGGGATTAGTACAGCCCCCCTCAGAACTCTTCGCTCAAATCCCAAACGAGCATGTTGGGAAACCCCAATTAAACCCTATAGAAACTTTATAGAAACCACCATTTGGGAAATGAGCCAAGTCCTGATATACGCGGATTAGATGGGAACAGCATTTCTCAGATCAAATCTTACCACCAAACCCACCAGTTCGCAAGTTCCGGATCAAAGCGTACCACCAAACCCATTCAGTCATCCCAGGAAGGCTCAGTCTCCTTCTGCCCAGTGAGTTCTTCCAACTCGCGGCGAAAATCCTGTGCCGTGAACATTGAGGCGGGGACAGGGGGTGCACAGGGCCTAGGTAAAGGCCCCAGGAGGTTCTACTGAACCCTATACATGTACAGGATGAGCCAGCAAAAAAAAAGGATCTTGGCCAGGTGTATGATCAACTGATCAACCTGAGTAATAATGATTAAACATGAAGTCAGTTCCTGACCAGTAGGGGGAAGGACATGGACCATCAGGGAAGGACATGGACCATCCACCACCACGTTGAAGACCACGGCACCTCCAAGGAGACCACGGCGCCATCCACGACGTTCTTGCCATGCCTCAGACGTTCCAAGGCCCCGGGCGGCCCGGGTGCCGAGATGTGGCGTGGCATGAAGATGAGCTGAGCTCCCAAAACGACCATTTTGAGCTGGTCACGGGCATGGAAGAGCGCACCATAATGTGAAATTCAACTCTTGAAAGGACTTAGAACACTCGAAAGGCAAATCATACCCAGACACTCCATGTATGCCATATTTGAATACATTGGGTGGTTTGGGGGGTCAATGTAAGCATATATGGCAAACATGGAGTGTTCTTGAACAAAAAACCGTCGAAATGGTCAAATCCCTGCCACTTGGATTTACAGTCCTTCAGCAACACCCAAACTAGATATCAATGGAATCAGGCAACCGGGTGACCGACAGTGTTTTCTGAGATAAACGCTCAGGAGTCCAGGTAGAAACAAAAGTCGAAGCACGCCACGTGCTTTGAAGCATACCATGGACATGCCCTCTTTAGGTCCAGATGCCACCCTGCGGAATCATCTGATACCTATCATAATAACATATAAAATATTAAGACATGCATGCGTCCCATCCAAAGAGCTGTCATCAAATCATCACTCGCTCAAGTCTCCATTGTTCCACCACCAAATCATCCGTGCAGTCTGATTTGCTTGTTGACTTGCCAGCTGGAAATGTGCCTCTCCCGGTCTCGCAGATCACCCAGGTCGTACATGCCGTTGCACAGCCGCAGGTAGCCTATCTCTTCGCCAGTGCTTGTCGCTGTTCGACGGAGAAAGAACAAAGCGGAGATTCCAAATCAGGGCCCAGACACTCCATGTATGCCATATTTGAATACATTGGGTGGTTTGGGGGGGTCAATGCAAGCATATATGACCCAGACACGATGTTTCATGATGTCTATGACCCAGACACGACCTGAGTCCCAGACTGCCGGACTGCCGAGAAACAGCCCAGGGGTGGTGGTGGTGCCAGGGGTGGTGGTGATGGATTCGCATCTCTGGCAGCCCCAGACGGGTCGCGTCGACGGGTGATGTTTCCCCAAGCGGTTCCACGGTTCGCATCGCGTCGTGGGGAGACACGACGATCGTGGTCACGTCTCCCAGACGCGAGCATCAACGACACGAGGAAGAATGGCCGGTATGGGACATCCAAATCCAGGACCGCTGGTTGACCAAAATGAACCAATCCATGGCTGTTGATGTGTTCAAGGGATGTGAAAAAAAAAAACATTGAACAAGCATCTCACAGCATCTCACAGCCTTTCTGATGGAACATGACCCTCATCAGTGTTGTCAGCATGTGCATGATCGAAATTAGTATATGAGTCTTGGTGTCATTGGTGGTTCTGGTCATACTTCCTTACCCATACACTCCATGTATGCCAAACCACCCCAATGTAGGCATATATATGGCAGTCCCATGGAGCGTCTGGGTTTTTTCATCGCTTTCACAGGCCATTGAAAAGTCACGGCCATCCGTCCAAGGCGCATTCGCTAAAGAGGAACACTTTCAATGGCTCTACCGACCTTGGTTGGGCCCGCCAGCCATCGCGGGGTCAGGCAGACCCCAGAGAGGCCCTGCGGGGTAGTGGCACTCATGGGAACCTTTTAGTGGTCCCGCATTGCGGGCTATGAGTGGAATGGAATGGAAATGTCCAAATGGACTCAAATCTCCATGTCTCACATGTAAATTGGACTCAAGGGATGTAAATTGTCACTTCTCAGATATATACCCAAAGTAACGTGTATCATCTTTAGCTTGTGAAGAGCTTGCCAATCCCGATGGACATCCCGCCGCAAGCCCACTTACTCGCCTAACATAGGTAATTTTAAGCAAGGTTGCCTTTATGTTTAACAAGCATGGCAATAGTCCGAAGGGATTGCAGCATGATTTTTCTAGGGGTCTTGTGCTACTTGGGTTACTCTTGCTGCAATTATAGGTAGGAAAATGTAGTAAAATATAGTAAGGACATGAACAAATCAAACGAAACCCAAGCTGCTGACACTGCGTTTCACGGACCAAGACACCTCACCAAGACCCATTGCCTCGGATCGAAAAGGGTCCGAGTCGTGCATTTGTGACTGAGAAAGGGCCGAGTGGCAACGAAACGTTGTCATTATGCCGTGTGCATGTCGTTTCTGTCTGGCGTAGAGGATGGAAGAAGATGGTGTCATTGCACGAATTCGATTGCAAAAGGATACCATCTGCAAGTCTTGTTGTTCAGGCCAATCCAAGGAGCAAGAGTAACTGCATATCAGCACATATCAGCATCATCCAGTCATCCAAAGGGGTCACCACAGTTTTTTACGTCTTGGAAGGGTCCTAATACCCAAGACGTGGTCATTGGTGCCACATGGTGGTGTATTTGGAACCAAAACCCGGTTCAATGGTCTCCCCAAGGGGTTTAGTGTGGGCGAGTTGGCCCCTATTAAAATATTACATACACATCTTCCTGGCCAACTCTGCCTGGCTGTAAAATTCAGTCCGTGCGGCCGGATATCAAACTTCCGTCCGCTGAAGAGCAGCAACGGCCGCTCCACGTATTTCTGCACGAGGCGATTCGGCATGCGGTCGCAGTGCTGCCTCGGTGAAGAAGACGAAGAGCCGGGTCGACCGTGGGGCATTTTGAAAGACTGGCATCTGGCGACCAGCCAGGTCATGCAAATGCCGCATATAGGTGGCCAGCCAGGGAGATTCTGCCACCCCCACTACCCTACCCACTACGTCCCAACCACCTTTGCTTCTCTTCCCCTTGGCCACGGCACCGGTAGGACTTCTTGACCCGCAAAGTGAGGGACGTTTTTTCAGAGGGCCCTGCAAAACCGCTGGGACGTTTGAAGCGGATATCCCTTCAAAACCTGGCTCACAAGCTTCTGCACTTTGATGTTACTTTTGAACACTGCCTTTCAATACACAGTCACAGGTACTGAACAATTGTCGAAAACCCATATCAGCCTAAGTTAGACTTGTGGCTTGTGTGCTCCAATGTTCTCGAAGGCGACTTGCTTTTAGCACCCATGGCACCAGGTCAACCTTCTGAAAAAAATCAGCGCACACACCCCACCCCAGGTCTCCCAGTCACACCCCAATCCCACCCCAAAAAAGGTGAAGTGGCAAGTGATCCACAGTACTGCCTGGGGTAGGTGTTCCAAACAAAAGAGATGGCTCCTGACGCCGGATCGCCCCCCTGGCGCCCCTGGCCGTCTGAGAACGAGCGCCAAGCTACAAGAGCTCCTTCAAATGACCTTGGATCAATGGAACAGATGGCATGTTCTGTGAGTCTGGGTGGCTGCTTACCCGGTCTAAGTGAAACTGCCAGTTTGGTTCAGACATGTTCCGTGATCTTGGATTGATTTGCTTACGAAAAGTGGACAAAAACATCTCCAGAAGGGGATTTCGCCATAGGGAAGCGAACACACACCGACTCCGAAAACTACGAGCACGTGCGCGCGACTACTGGGACCTGGGGGAAACACACTGCCGCTCAAGGGCTTCTGCCTGGTCTGTGGCTGTCGTTCGTTGCTGGGAAGGTATGCGCTGTCACCTGTCATGCGCCTGTCCGATCACTTCGATACCCTCAGTCTTCACCCGCTGAACCCGATCGGTCCGTTGCAGACGATAAACATGTGTGTTACCGCAGAAAACATGCACGGAGTTGTCAGGGATGAATTTCGGAACAAAATGCCTTGAACACATCACAATCTCTAGTTCTGGGGTTGGCACAATCTGTGATCTCACATCGGAGGTGGGATGCAGAATACTGTAATCTGATATACCTTAATTTAAGCAACAAGACCTAAGAACAGTTACAGTATTTTTATATGCATGTAGTCATAGTAGCTTAAAACAACTGCTTCTGATACCTCTTGATGTTCCAAAAGGACGCTGGCCCAAACAACTCCACTTCCTTGATCTGATTCCACTCCCACGCTGGCCTCCAACATGCAAAACACATATACCTGGTATAGGGCGACATCCTCATAGAGAAGAATCTCCGGAGTTTTGATAAGTTTTTGTGGTTTTCAAGAACCATCTACTTCCGCCCAACAAAACATGCCTTGTTATAGAAAAAACCTTCAAATGCCTTCAGCTTGAGACATCAGCGGCCAAAGACTGCCTCTTCACCACCTCTTCCACGCGCCTCTTCCACGCGCCCGCCGCCGCCCGCCCCTGGACCGCCCGCCCATGGAAGATCGGGACCACGCCGCAACGCCACGAGACTCTTCAACCCCGGCAACGTCCCAGCCAGGGGGCTCATGCATTCGATGCCGTTGGACTTGGAATTCGTCCCGGGCTTCACGATCCACACATTGCGGCCACCCGTCTCGTTGCCCAAGAGGGACCACTGTGGAAAGAGCATCTCAAGCCTGGGCAGTGCCAGGGTGGTGCGATGAGAATGCCGTGCCAACGCTGAAAGCACGCAAATGGGATGGGTTTTCGTACATTCAGCAGAAGCAACGCCATTCATGGACGCCATGCATGGACTATGGCTGAAGTATCCTCCTTGCAATTCGGCCTCACACCCGGACCTCTCGGGTTAATTGATTCTTTAGAGAAAATTGTCAGGCGGATGCTGAAGTACAAGTTTTCAGGTGACATATTGGAGTGCTGGAAGGGTCTCCTTGTCACAGATCGCCAACAGCCCCGCATCTTCGATAGCCAAATCTGGTGCTTTCTTTTGGTGGGCTGGTTGGGGGGGGTGGCAACTCGCAGCAACCGTCAGAGTCTCCCCACCTCATCAGCGTATGCTGCAAGGTGTCGGCAAACTCTCCATAGCCCCAGTGGTGGCTGAGGAATTCCTCAACCGATTCCAGCGGTGGAATGGTGGGTGCCTTTTCACCATCCCACTCAGAATTTGGTGCTCAGAATTCTCGTCACCGACCGCCGGACAGCTGAAAACAGGGCAAATTTCTGGAAATCTTCGAAGGTCACAGATTGATATCGAAGAGGAGTGGAAGGTTCTTGTTTCGCCCCACAGTGTTCTGGCAGTCTCTGTCTTTCTATCGGAAATTTCATGAAACATCCTGAAAGGCCATGGACTCATTCAAAAACAATCAAGTGGGGCCCCTCCATCCGTCACCGGGATATGGGGCGAAGAAGAACAAGCTCGTGGTGTTCCGCCTCATGTGACATCATGTGACCCATGTCACATGTCCTGAATGTGCGTTGTTTGGTCAAGCAAACACCACTCCACATGCATGATTTGGCCAGCGTGGCTCCAGGATGCGGGACGTCAAGCACGTACCCGATCCCTTCTTGAGACGAGCTGAAGCTTCAGGGAGATGTGGGACATTTGGAAACTATTTGAGTGTCTACCCAAATGTCCTGTTAAGAAAAGGACATGATTCAGCGCAAAGTTATCGCTTTCGAGGGAAGAACATTCACTTGTTATCCAATCTCTGCGGCGACATGGCGATCACTTTTGAGGAGGGCTATCGCCTTATGCAGATCAAGGAGAAACAAACCAAAATGAACCACGGTCAAAACGCCCTTGTTGCCGGAAAAAAAAGGCATGGTATTTCAGTGACTTGTCCCATAGATCATACATTTTATGCGATCATCTTCATCTCCATCCTAGGATGATTCGGCCAATGGCTCATATGACTCATATCCGACTATCAAGTGCTAAAGAAGAACAGACCCAAGTAGTTGCCCAACTGACTGTGCTGGCCTTGGACGCCGGCAGAAATCCCTGAGAACCCATCCCCCACACACTCCATGGGGGCATATTTTCCTACATTGGGGCAGTTGAAAAGGGGTTAATGTATAGGCATATATGCCATACATGGAGTGTCCGTGCCTGAACATCCGAGTCAGGGTTCCGGCCATAACTTCAACTCCTGCACGCAGCTCTCCTGCCGAAGGACCAGAGTCGCTGCACCAGCGACCAGCGCAAATGTCTTTCTCGACATCCCATTGGACACATCAGGCCACTGCTAGACCCAGCTACGGTGCTCATGCCAACTAGATACACAAATCTACAACAAATCCAGCAAACATCCTGTCCGCAAATTCCCCTCTGACTCTGTCCAATCTGACACAACCTCACTCAACTTTATGTATCTGATTCAAGGGAAAAGCACCAATGACTGGAAACGTACACTAAAATACCTGGACCTTCCTGTATAGGGGTGTCCTGGCTGGATCTCCCATAAGTAGTGGGCTTCGAGATCCCTTCGAAGGTTCTTCCTCCCATGCCGCCCACTCGCCCGCCTCGCTCCGCGCGTTCTTCGCGTGCCGGTTTCGGTCAGCGACGCCGTAGAGGAGCTCCGACTGTTGAAGATCGCTGTACAGAAGCAACGCTTCCCAAAGGTCCTGAAGGGAATGACGCAACTTGCTCGATGAATGGTGCGTCCGGTGAATTCAGGTGAATGAATGAATGGGTTGATGCTTAGTGGCTATTGGGCAGTGAGATCTGTGGGATGAGTGGATCACTTTGCAAGTCGAAGCCAGGCCCTGTGGACATATTGCAACCGTTTTCCACGACTCGCATGAACATACACCCGCAATGAGTCACCGAGAGTTCAAAAAAAATATGTCACATGTGGGAACATGTCCATCTAAAGACCCAAGAATTGACCTCCATCTTGCAACCCCTCTCCACCCTCACCCTCCTGTTTACGCCCCGGCCGCACCTCTGAGAGATGCGCTCCCTCGTCGCCCTCATCGAGGTGCTCCCGGTCCAAATCCTTTTGCCAGCGCTGCAACACCCGCTGCGAGGCAGCCAACACTGTCTCATTGCACCTGAAGAAGCGTGGGAAACGCGGGTCATTCGGGATGAGCAACAGGATCAAAGAGCTGGGTGAGCCTGACTGCTGTGAGCTGGGTGTGCCATTTTGTATGATGAAAACACGTCGCAAGACGAATCAAATCTGGCTGTTTCCTTGACCTCTGCGCTTCTGTCCACAAGCGTCAGGATGGCTGACCTCCATCACATCCCGCTTGGCAAATTCAAGTGCACGCATTCAATCACCGGCTAGTTCGAAACCAAGGCTCTGTGCCTGCCCAAGGCTGTGTAGCTCTAGCCCAAGGGATTTATAAAATGTGACTTAATTATATGCCTTGACCGTGACTCCCAAACTTCCTCCTAGAATATTTCCAGGTCCATCTTCAGCCCAACGTCCAACCTTCTCTAATCTAAGGCGCTGGTAGGCCACGTTCAAGCCTTGCTGCTGATCTTTTCGCATGCGCCGGTGGAGCAAGGCCACGCGCAACGCCGCCGACCGCCGGAAGTCGAGGATGAAGTCCTGAACCGTGTGCGAATTCGCCGCCTTCCATGGAGGGATGCTGATTGAGCCACTTATTGAAGCCACCACAGGGGAAAGTGGTTTAAAGACATCCCTAACTGGTCCCTGACTATGTATTGTCCTTCGGAGAACCTACCCTTTACGTGGTGGCCATCTTTCATTTTCAGGTCACCTCCTTTCCTTCCCCGAGATGCAGGGCAAGACTCGAGTAGTGAGTATAGTTGTTCTTGGTTAAAGAGCCGGCCTTTACTACAAACCTCGGGTTCTGCCGGGCTTTACTAAGTAGCCCACAAGTAGCCCTCCCTCATTGTCGTACACTTTTTCAACTAAGACATCGATTTCTCCAATCACCCACGAGAGTTGGACCCGACCACAGGTGGTGAACCTGGGGCACCTCCTGTCACCTCAGGTTGGGCACCTCTTGAACTGGATGGTCCTGGTCTGGGGACGTTTGGGCGGCTGGATGCGTTCACATCGGAGTTTGGGCTCCTCACGCTCGCTCTTCTGCGCTACATCGTAGGATCCTCAGTGCTGCAAACAGTGCTGCAGGGTATCCTACCCACCATGCTGGACTCCAAAAAACAGCAACAAAAGCTTCGACAACAACAGCAAATGTATGCAAATGTGTTTCGAAATGAAAACAAAGATGGCAAAGTTAGACCCCCCTTTGCAAGAATTGACCCTCCACCAGCTGTTCCGAACAGCAAACAAACGCAACTAGTTGGTCTTCCTCAGGCGTGGGAGTGTTGCACTGCGGAACACAGCTGTCAAACACAAAAGATCACAAAAGTAAGTCCTGCGCGTCGGCGTCGACCCACAAGCGGTACCTGCGTGTCTCCCATGTTCTCTTCGAGTTATTTCCAACAGTGTGTCCGGAAGCCGGGCATCGAGGGAAAAAGCTCTCCGCGTCGGAGAAGGAGGTGGAATAGTCCTTGAGACTTTTGGTCAGTCCAGCCTTTGTGGTCAGCGCCGCATTCTGCTGGAAATGATTGAAGTACTCACCTCAGCTGAAGGCGAAGTCGCCAACTCCCGGCGAATAGTTCATGGATGTTCATCAGGGGGTTGATGGGAATGACCGTTGGTTTTTTTCGGCGAACCTCTTTCCCGTGGTGAACGGCCCAAAGGTGCGGGTCTTTCGTCAAGAAAAGCTTCCTTGAAAGCAGTAATCACATATTACAATATATATATATGTATTACAATAGTTATGTTATTACATGTTATTACAATATGATATATATAAATAGTCATCCCATCAAAGAACAACTTTGGCCAAACACGTGGCTGCCGGTTCGAAATGAAACCCAAGGGCGCATAAAAAAAAAATAGACTATTGGAAATCAACCAGAGACTCCAAGTGATAATGTAAGGAATGGTTATCTAAATCAGGGCCGTGAATGTCTGCAACTTTTTCACACATGGAGTGTCTGGGTCATTCTTTGACATGTCTTTCCTGATCACAAATCCCACACGTGGCATTTTGCGGCCACGCGCAACTTGCCATTTTCACCCGCGGGCCTGCACGCAGATTGCGGTAGTCCGCGAAGGAGTCCTCCGTCTTCCAGGTCAGCTGTCCAGAGAGCAGGCGTTGGCTCGCGAAGGCGATGTGTTCCTCTAGGTTTCCTGTTTCAGGTGTCCATGGCGAACACTCCGACGAACACTCGCGGAAAACCACCGGTTTGGTTCGTGGAAAACCGGCCCCAGCCTGTTCGGAACATTGCCTAAACGGTCCATGCCATCCACTTCCATGTTATAGTGAGTCGGAGGGTAAATGATGAAAAACAACGCAGACTGCTACGATCAATGATTCAACGATGTTTCTGTTTGTTTCATGGTGTGTAACACTCTTACTCTGGTGTGTGTGTGTGTGTTGCCCTATTAATCATGCGCTCGTCGTTCACAGGATGACATGTGGTGGTGGGAGTACTTGAAAATAGTTCCAATCTCTATGCTTCTAGACATGACAAATAGTTTGGTTCTAACATATCTTGAAATATAATTGCTGTTGCAAAAAACGAGAACAACAAAACTCCATATTAACCAAGTTCACCTAAACCTATAGACTATCTCTTGGACATTTTCTCTTGGAACTGGTCGTTGTTTGTATTCCAAAAACATAGATCCGAGCGCGCACTTGTTTCCGCACCGGAAAAAAACACGCCAGTTATTCAAGGCTAATTACTGCAAAGAAACAAAGAAGGACTGCTCTTGTTTCTCAAACATTCACACGGATTGCTGACTTTCTGCATGTTTTGTTTGTTGCTTGGCACGGTAATCAAAGAAGGCAGATGAAACGAGAACCCAATTGACACATGGTGTTTGGCCGTTTGGTTCGTTATGATCTCGTCTCATCTCGTCTCTCATCTGTCTCCTCTCTCACTCTGAAAGTACAAACTCCACAGGTTTCATTTCATCTAGACTGTTTGATTGTGAGGGTTGCATCGGCACACAAAAGAACACTGTTCAACCATTTCTCCAAATGGTCATGTTTGGATGATGAAGAAGTTGAAGAGTAGCCTACTTTCGCAGAACTGCGCTCGGTCACGAAGATCGCCCGGTCATCACAGATCGACACAGGTTTGTTCAACACGGTGAGTCCTGTGAGTATCAAAACAAACGCATAAAGGGGGGGACACAAACAACTAACTTACAAGAGATGGCCTCCAAAACCTAGCGATGGCTTCCATGGGTTAGTATGTGAATGTCCTAGTCTGACAGCTGCTTCACAGAATCACTCGAATTCGCCCCAAAACCGCTGCGTTCGGTCGAACTCGCCCCGGTCGCTGCGTTTCGGGACTTGTTCCGAGCTACGAGGCCCATGCTTTGCCGCCAGTCCCGTTGCGCGTTCGTTCTGCGCGTGCGCGTTGGGCACGGGGCGCATCGGCGCTGGACGGTGCCGGTCCTGAAGTGGGTAGCTCTTCGATTCAGAGCTGTGGCTGTTGAAATCCTGGTTGGAGGATCCAAGTGTATTCAGGTTTAGAGATGGCAAAGGATGGTAAAGGATCAACATGAACGGTTCTAGGATGGTGAAGGAGGATCAACCACTTGGTGGGGGCGTAGCCTTCGCTGAACTCACCACAAAGTAACGTGTGGGCAGGAATGCAACATGCCACAAAAAAATGGTCGTCCATCCAGACATTTGCAGACTATAGTCCTCTAATATATAACTCCATTGTTGCTTGCGGTTGTTTCAGCTCTTCAGACATTTCCAGGGAGATCTGAACTATTTGGATTCGCTGTTTGCGTTTTAATTTAACCCTCCAGTGTTCTGCAAAAATCAAGAAACCGTGCAATCCATCAGCGTAGTACTGCATCTCAAAAACAATCACTCCAAGTATGCCATAGGACTGCCGATCAGTTGGGGTGGTTTTATCACATATGTGGCAGTCCCATGGGTCGTGTCTGGGGATTGGAGCACAATCCACGGCATCTCTACAACATGGTCAACCTGGATGTGTCAGTCCTGAGGCACTCGCTCAGGCGGCATCGGCACGGACTCCCTTGGCTCCTTCGTCACAGGCTTCTTCGGCCCCTTGCCGTCCTTGGCGAGCTCGAAAAGCCAAGCCGTTGTACAATTCCCACCCGACACTCCATTAACCACCCCAAAGCACCCCTGGCCTGATCGGCAGTCCTATGGCAGTCCCATTCGGAGTGTTTGGGATTGAATCAGTGCTCAATATATGCTCAATGGCTTTCAGTGGAGATGGGGACAGGGCAGGACGCCTTTCCATTCGTCCGGTCAGGGGTGATTCCCAATCTTCCGTCATACCATCATACCCTGTCATTCCGTGTCCTTCTGCTCCACCGGGTTTACCGTCATTCTGCAGGTCTTCTCTTCCCTTCTCTCCAACCACGGCGCGGCTGCCAGGTGCTTCTGCGGCCGCTGCCGAGAAGATTTGGCAGGAGGCAACACCACACCACGCGCGCTCTGCGGAGCGACGATCTCTTTGGCAGCACCTCCGCGGCTGGTGTCAGAGTCGCTGGTCGTCCGTGCGGCAGCTTCCATCCTGCGCAACGCAACGGGCTGAAGCTGCTGGGTTGACTTGGGGTGATCGTAAGAGAACCTTTCAAATGAGGATTTGGTCTCTATTGGAGGACCTTTGTAATTATTCTTTTCTTCGATGATTTCGAGGGTATTGTATCCAACAGATTTGAGGTTTTCTGACACAAGCAGTTTTAGAAACCTGTGGAGGCATGTTGAGCGTTTGGAAACCTGGACGAAAACAGCTAAGGGATGCTAAGGGACTCTTGATAGTCTTGGCAAGATTGGAGAATGCTTGCTTAGGTCCCTGAAGAACCTTGCCGAAGTCCCTATCAATGGACATTTCAACAGGGCTGAGGTTGCAGAAATCCAACGAACCTCACCTTCAACCTGCCTAATCTTTCGTACCTACCAGTACCTCCCCCCTCACCTCCCGCTCTCCTGGGCAGCACCGGTCTCTTCTCCTCGCGCCCCGCCGAGCTGGGCCGCCGCGGGGACCGGGACCCCTCGGCGCCCGGCGACCGCGCCGAGAGCGGCGCGGGGCGCAGCTCGGCGTCGCGGAGGCTCAGCGAGAGCGTGGGCGGTTTGGGTCGCCTCGGCGCGGCTTGGGGTCGCCATGGCCCATGCGCATGCGCGAAGAAGGTGCCCAAACAGGGTCCGCTTTGGTGCGGAGGAGGGGAGGTCTGTGAGGGTATACCAAGTTGGTGGGCGTTTTCGGGGAAGAGGAAAGTGCAGAGTCTGTTTTGGGTTTTTGGAAGATGTCCAGGTGACAGTTCTTTCTTTTTGAGAACTTGTTGAGCTGTGGCCCAACATGAACTCTCAATGTGACGGGATTGTACGGGCTCGGAAGTCCGGAAGTTCTTGGAAAATGGCCTTTCCTTACTTGCTCAGATTCAAGCCACTAGCAAAAACGCATAACATATTACACCAAACAATATATGCATGGATATCGTATTTTGACACCAAACTCCTGGGCATCATCTACCTGGATTTCACATCGGTTGTTGTCCACGGATCGACACAACCATGAATTTAGAACAATTCATGAACATGCATGCAAAAAAAGCAACAGGCACTCCAGCAACTCAAGAAGCTACTAGGTGGAGGCCATCGCTATCAGGTTCGAGGCCATTACTATATTTAAATTAGATATATACAGGTAGCAAGAAGCTACTAGTAGCTAGAAGGTATTAGGTTGGAGGCTCATCTCATGCCGTGTGCACCTCACGGCCAAGCGGCAGAAACCGCGGCGCTGAGATCTTGGCGGCGAAGGGCGCAGGCGCCCAGCCGTAGCCGATGGCGCTGCTGTCGGTGTGCCCGGACTGCAGGTCGTCAGTGAAACTCTTCAGACCATGAAGCATCACCTGGAGGATGTTTGGGATTTCCTTTTCGTGGGGAAGCAACTGGTCATAGTCTCATCAATCAAACCTTTTGCCGCCAGTTTAGCTTTGATTGATGTGACAAGTGTAGCACATGTGCCGAGTGGACCAAAAGCTTGTGAGCATGCAAGGGAATCCAAGTCCAAAACTTTTGAAACCAGCCCAATGTAATCCGTTTGTAGAAGATGTTCAATTGTTTGTGTTTCTAGAGGTGTGGCCTCGTTACTCCAGGATTGCACCAAACAAACTAACTAACTAACAAGCAAGCAAGCAATAAGCAAGCAATAAGCAAGCAAACAAATGAAAACAAACCAAAACATCCTCACCATCATCCCCAAACAGGATTTGCAAGCTGCGTTAGACCGACCATCGATGACCATCGATGATTGGAACACTTAGAATGGGAACCCACCCAGTCGACTGGAAACCCATTTCAAAACCACTGTTCTTTTGTTTGATTTTGGATGTCCTGGACAAGAACATGGCATGCCGTTCGATACTTCCAAAAGCCGGCAGTCTTCAAGCCTTCAAAACAGCCAGTCGATTTGGCGAACCACAGATTCGACTCTGAACCGGTTGGTTGTTGGCCAACGTTGCATCCATTCGTTCACCGTTTTGGGACTTGGGACTTGGAGTGACTTGGCTGGAAAGGAATGGGGTACACAGGCTCTTTACATGCTAGTTAACTCTCCAGTTCCAAGGTGTTGGAGGTGCAGGACAGTACTGTCACCAGTGATCATCAATGATCAGTACATGGTGGTTGATCACAACAACACTTTGACAACTATAAGACTATATAGACTATAGACGGGAGCTGCATCATCTTCGATTCAGGAACTAGTTCAGGAACCCTGAAATGGTTTTGAGGGAATGTTCTTTTGATGAGCAAAACATCTGGCTTTGTCAGTTTGTGGGTTGCTCGCGCAGCAGGTTCTGACAAACCTGTTGCGACCGCCGGTCAAGCGGGAGACGTCCGTGCGGGACCCGAGGGGCGCTCCAAGGCTTGTTCCTAGGCACATACTGGCCACCTCTTTCAGTTCCAGGAGTCCAAAAGTCCACGGTTGCGCAGGCCCTGCGTTGCCAGCTCTTAAAGAGCATATACTTCGAGTAGTAGGCCACTAGATCAATGCAGGGAGCACGACTTCGTAGCTTAGCTATAGAGTTTTCAGTCGGTCCTTTTGAGACGGTCCGCAGCTGGTGATTCCCTCTGGCGGTCTCACTCTCTTGATTTCCCACTGGCGGTTTCAACGCCTGCGACTCCCTGCGACCGGAACCTCCGAACGGTGCGACACATCCGATCGGCGACATGGTACATGCGACATCGACCTGTTGAGTACCAGGTGGCCCCGGCCCGGCCCGGACGTAACAGTACGTGAAGAAGGAAGAAGGATTGGCCGCCAGGATGGGATTGGCCTTGCAAAGCCTTCAAGGTTGATTTGTTGGATGTCTCAATTTTGGGCCATGCTGTTCCCCATCGGAGTCCCCAGTCCTTTTGGTCCCCCTTTGCAAAGCCGCCGGGTGCCAAGTCACATTGTACATCTCCTCCGTGGGAGGCAGCACATAGGCCATTTCGCCCGTGGCCGTCTCCACTCGGCCAAGAGAACCCATGGCTTCGGATCCAATGGCTTCGGGTTCAAAAACCCGCGAGGAAAAAAAGGCTGCTAGAAACTGCGTGCCATGAGCTACTGGCCATGTAGAAACAAAGGCACATTTCAAATCTCTATATGTTATTTTTTGTATTCAATCTATAAGAGCATCTTTGAATGTGATTGGAATTTTAAGATTCTATTTGGTGTGGAATCTTTCCAAACATGTGTCGTGGAAATAGAGATGGAAAAGGCGCCCGCACTAGTGCGCAACGTGGTCCCAACCATTCTGCGTGAAGAAAGCAGAAAAGGTTAAGTTTAAAGATTTTGAAACCTATACTCATCCCTTATTGTCTTCTCTGGGCATCTCTGGCCCGCAGCTGATTTCTGCCCTGAGGGTCCTGATCGGGACCTTTTTTCCCGTCCTCCCTCGGGAGCTGCTTTTTCGGCCAAAACGCGCAGGGGGGCGATGGCAGAATTAGAAACCACTGAAAAGACATGAAAAGCTCCGGGATCATTCTGATATTCCAATCATTCCAGCATGTTGATTCCTCATTGTGTCAACTCATGGACTTGTCATACAGAACATTGTTTCAAGAGAACATCATTAGCCATATTAGCCTTAGCCTACCAGGACCATCCCAACAGGCGTCGGGTGTATCGATCTTGGAACACTCCCAACAGATGGTCGTATAGGAAGAAATCAATGTACAAACATGTACAAACCAATATTCCCTACAAACAGGTCAGGAGTTCCTGATCTCATGTTTGGACATGGTCATATATAGTTCATACGACTCCAGGAGGTCAGTCAGAAACTGATCCAGTTTGACTGAGGTTAACTGCTCATTTCCGGTGGACATTTATGTACTACCAGGTTACTACCATCTCTCGCGCCGAGAAGTTCTTTTGTGAGGGACTTGGAACTCGAGCATCATCTATTCATGTCTCACCCGAAATGTCGAAGGCACACGAAGACTCGGTAAATGTGCAGCGGAAAGTGGGATGCAGTGGATCTGTGTGACGACATGGGCGTTCTTTTTCCTTACAAAAACACACATGTTGTCAAGATCGCGACATGTCTTCGATCGCGAAACACATCTTCTGACGAATGGTGCTTCCAGTCTGAAAAAACTGGGTCTTTTCGTGTCGACAAAGCCTAAATAAGGGATTTGGGGTGACCCAGAATTCATGGCAAAAGAAATCCCTTCTTCAAATGGCTTGCACAGTTTTTCGACTTGGCGACCTCCATAACGGACGTGCTTGTTCTCACTTGTTCTCACTTATTTCTAACGCTGTTCTCGCTCATTGGCTGCCAGTGAAATAGACCTGCTTCAGGAACCAAAAACCCGTCGATCGTCTAAGAGCAACCGGTCTGTGAACCTTCTCCATCTCGCCAACCAACCCCATCAGTACCCACCTACTTGCGAAGTCCATCTTGGAAAGATCTTTTATATACATTGCGCGGCGGTTGTGCGACCATCTCCTGTACCCCAAAAAAATACACCAAACCCAAACCCAATGAAGAGTTGGATCATTACGGTATACTGCTGCACAAGATCGACATGGCAGAGAATCTACGAACATGTTCTACACCAAAAGCGCTGGTGTCCCATGTTTACCATGCCCATTTCCCCTGTTTTGTCATGTCATGTCGTCATGCTAACTCGATGCTCGTCGACCGGTCGTCCGTTCCACCAAACCCGCCAGAGGGACCACGAGCACTGGTGACCTCCATGCGGAGACGGAGGAGACGCGGAGGACACAGCATTCTTTGCAATGCGTTTGTTCAGTCTTTCTTTTTAGTTACAGAAGGGGTAGCCATGGGGGGGTGGAGTGGTGTAGATTCTAGAAACGCAAGTTTCACAAGTGCTCCTTTTTATAACCCGTTGGGGCTCCAGTCGTACCCTCTTTTCGAAGGTGGGACGTTTTTGTGCCAGGAGGGTCCAAATACCTTCTGAGGAACGACTGGAGCCCGAACGGGTAATACAGTTCGGTGTACCTGTTTCAACAATCGGTCCCTTCGGTGTGGTCTTGGCTCCTCATCTGGAAGGCGAGAGCACAAAACGTGATACAAGTCCTTGCCAGGATTTCTTATAAAATTTCACATCACAAACCTAGCCGTTGTGGAAGATCACTTGCAGTTTTTGAAGTTGGAGGTTGTTGCGGAACTGGACAACGTTCCTGGCAAACGCTCAATAGTTGGCCCACAATGACCTGACCTCCAAGAACATCTCTGATTTCACTTAAAATGGCCTTCGAGTCCCTTCCAAACCACCTGAAGAGATCATGACCATGAACACTATTTGTGGTTTAACGGGACCAAGTAAAACTAGGTTCTAATAAATACTATCAATGTTCATTATCTCCAATTCTAGATGAACAAGTTTAACGAGGTCATTGACTTGGAGGGTACTTTGGAGGGTATATCTAGATAAAAATCATCAGCAGCACAGGGCCGACGATATGCCGACTATGAAGAACTTCCAAAGTTTCCATACTTGGATGTGGAACTTATATGAACTTGTTACGGATTCTGATTCTAAAGGCTCCCAACATGAGAATGCAACCTGCTCCTCCAACCTTCCACCTTCTCCAATGCTGCTGGAGCCGAGGACCGATGCTGACCGATGCTCAGGGGACCGGCTTTGTGAAGAGGACCGGACCGTCCCATTGGGGGTTTAGTCGAGTCCTTCTGCTGAATGGACGAATTCAACTGGGCTCATAGCTTCCATGCTTAATAGCTTCCAGGACCGAGACACAATAGTTGCCATGTCATCTATACATGTGAATAGTTGCCAAAATGTTGCAAAAACACATAATATACCAAGTGTATGACCCGAATGTAATCATCATCAACTAACTATTTCATACATGCATGGTCTGCAGGTATTGGACGCCCGTTGACTGTTGTCACCCTCCGATTTCGGGGTTTCTTTTGGCTATCCCCTCTGCGAGTGTCTGACAGTTGCTGAAGAATCCTGGAAACACCATGGAAGATTCTTCAAGAGTGACAAGCAAAACCGTGACAAGTACAAGTGCATTTTAGCTTGCTTTGGCCACTGCCATTGCCGTTTCTTCCGGGCCTCTGTCTCGACCTCGTCCATCTTCGTTTGCGCCACCGGTGGGGTGCACACCTGCCGTTCAGTAGTCTCACGTGGTCCGCCGTTCGTTTTTGTCCAGCTGACGTCATTCAAGCGACATGTGTTCAAACATGTCGCTTACAGGATTCCGTCATGTTCAAACCACCCACACAACTGACTGGTGCCATAGGAGGATAATGGCCCACTACTATACCTGGGTCCACTGGTTTGTGAGGAAAATAAAGCGCCGTTTGGTGAAACTGTACATTTTCTTGTAGTCTTGTGGAAGAGGTGTCTCGCTTCAAGAAAAAAAAATGTTTGCAACCTCCATTGTCTTCAACACAAGCACTGAAAACAGTTGGCAACATGTTGTGCCGTGCTGCAAGGGTCATATATGCCGCTTGAACATGTGTTTTTTCACCATGTCAGGAACAACTCCAAAACATATTTAATGTTAGAAACGATGCTGTTCCTTCTTCCTAACAACAACAGTAACTGTGCATATTCTTAGACACATGATGAAACATGCAGGTAGATGACCTTCGGATCCATTCCCTTGCGAGTGGCAATCAAACAAATCAACGAACCGTCTTTCCTCGCCCACCCGCCCCCCTTGGGCGGGCCCTACCCTGGGGTGAGAAATGGGTCGGTCATGGTCAGTCCAACTGCCAGTCACCGGTGTTCGGACCGATCGCTGTCACGAAACACCGACCCTTTTGGGGATCGACGAAGACCCTGAAAACGCCTACTTCGCGTCCGGGGCGTGGCGAGAGGTGATCTTCACTGGGCCATGTGTCGTTCAGCCTGGAGCCCTGGTTGGATCGATTTCAGGGCCAATGTATCGATGCGCCGTGTTGGATCGATACGCGTCTCGTCTTGGTAGGTCCAATGGATCGAGTCGACCCACGGCCGGAACGATGGCAAAACCAATAGCTTCAACGCCGTGCTCCGGACAGGATGCTGTGTTCTGCAACTCCGTACAAAAAAACAAGAGTTCTCACCGTCAACTCCTGAGTCACGTGTCCACCAACGCATCACCGTGCAGCCGAGCGGTCTCGGTCGTGCTCGTGCTGTTGCCGCGTGGATCGTACGGCTCGTTACGGCTCGTCCGATGGAAGGGCTCGCACGAACGGAGGCAGCAAACGACCATGGACCAAAACCCAGTGGATGCACACCCGGAAACGAGAACACCACATATTGGCAGGCCTCATGCTCAGGTGGTGCTTCATCCTGCAACGTTTGCCGGGAAACACAGGCCCTCCCGGGCTCAGCTTGGAGCACATAAGGCCTTGGAAAAGGATGTTGCCCCAACCAACCATTTGGGAACAACGCATGCTAGTTTGCCAGAACACACACTCCGTGGAACGCACCGCTTGCGCATCTCCTGAGTCAGATCTTCCTCCAAAGGCTTCACGAACCTCGCGGCGACGCCCAGACCACCCAACACCAGGACCCACTCGTAGAGCGTTGACTTCAAGAATTGGGAGGTGCTCACCGAAATTGTGCACACCGCAAGCTGGGAGGTTCATCGCCACCGGATGCCCTCGGGAAGATCTGCATTTCGACCCACTGCGGACGGCGGAGGGTGAAAGCCATGGAATTCCGACGAGTACGTAGGGACATGTAGGGAATGAAGCCCCTCCGGAGATTCCGGAATGGATCCAGCCCTCGGCCGAAACTCAGAACTGTCAAACATCATCCTAAAACCGGCGGCACACATTCCTTAACGATTTGGAGGTGGGCTTATCAATCCCATACCTTGGGTCTATCTTATTACAAGTAACAGTGGATGATGATGGTTCAGTTGCAGGCCTTTCTCATCTTTCTCTAAAATAGTGATAATTGGTTGCTGACTGTTACCGGTATAGAATAGGACAAACCCAACCCATATACCCTCCAAGTCCTAGTGCCACACAAAACAATTATGATCAATCCTCCCTCCCCAGACTTTCTTGGTCT